TGCTACAAAAGAGAAAAACACTACACAGGCAGCAATTCCTAAAGAAATATGAATTACGTCCTGCCCCCACAAATTCATATGTTGAAGTTCTGACCTCTCATACCTCAGAATGTTACCTTATATGCAGATATAATTAGTTAAGATGAAGTCACGTTGGGGTAGGGTAGGCCCTCAATTCATTATGACTATTACCCTTACATAAAGAAGACATGAACAGAGACAGGCACACAGGGAGAATGCCATGTGAAGATTGGAGTTATGCTACTATAAACCAAAGAACTACCAGAAACTAGAAGAGAGACCTGGGACAGATACTTCCCTAACACCCTCACAGGGGACACAGCCCTGCTGGCACCTTGATTTTGGACCTCTGGCATCTAGTACTGTGAGACAATAAATACCTGTTGTTCTAAGCCTCCAGTTGGTTGTACTTTGTTACTGCAGCCTCGAGGAAACTAATACAGACAATAAGAGGCTAATGTGCACCAACTAAACTGACCCCCTTCAGACTGCACTTCAGATCCAGCTTCTCACCCCATGGCTACTGCCACCACATTAGCCCAGGCCCCAGTTTTGAGCTGTAGCCACTGTTGCCTGGTCTCCTGACTTCAGGCTCTACCTGCACGTGCTTCAATTGCCAAACCCACCATGACAATAACCTTTCGAAAATGCCAACTTCTTTGCATTACTCTCTTGTTAAGAAATCTCGGATTGGGGCTTCCCTGGTGGCGCAGTGGTTGAGAGTCCACCTGCCGATGCAGGGGACACGGGTTCGTGCCCCGGTCTGGGAAGATCCCACATGCTGCGGAGCGGCTGGGCCCGTGAGCCATGGCCGCTGGGCATGTGTGTCCGGAGCCTGTGCTTCACAGCGGGAGAGGCCACAACAGTGAGAGGCCCGCGTACCGCAAAAAAAAAAAAAAAAAAGAAATCTCGGATTGGTTCAAGATGGCAGCATAGAAGGATGTGCGCTCACTCCCTCTTGCGAGAACACCGGAATCACAACTAACTGCTGAACAATCATTGAAAGGAAGACACTGGAACTCACCAAAAAAGATACCCCACATGCAAAGACAAAGGAGAAGACGCAATGAGACGGTAGGAGAGCTGCAATGAGACGGCAGGAAGGGAGCAATCACAAATCAAATCCCATCACTGCTGCGTGGGTGACTCACAAACTGGAGAACAATTAAACCACAGAAGTCCACCCACTGGAGTGAAGGTTCTGAGCCCCATGTCAGGCTTCCCAACCTGGGGGTCCAGCAATGGGAGGAGGAATTCCCAGAGAATCAAACTTTGAAGGATAGCAGGATTTGACTGCAAACCTTTGACAAGACTGGGGGAAACAGAGACTCCACTCCTGGAGGGCACACACAAAGTAGTGTGTTCATCAGAACCCAGGGGAAGGAGCAGTGACCCCACAGGAGACTGAACCAGACCAACCTGCAAGCACTGGAGGGTCTCCTGCAGAGGTGGGGGTCAGCTGTGGCTCACTGCAGGGACGACACTGGCAGTAGAAGTTCTGGGAAGTACTCCTCGGTGTGAGCCCTTCTGGAGTCTGCCATTAGCCCACCAAAGAGCCTGCAGCTCCAGTGCTGGGTCGTCTCAGGCCAAACAACCAACAGGGAGGGAACTCAGCCCCACCCATCAGCAGACAAGCAGATTAAAGTTTTACTGAGCTCCGCCCACCAGAGCAACACCCAGCTCTACCCACCACCAGTCCCTCCCATCAGGAAGTTTGCACAAGCCTCTTAGATAGCCTCATCCACCAGAGGGTAGACAGCAGAAGCAAGAACTACAATCCTGCAGCCTGTGGAATGAAAACCACATTCACAGTAAGACAGACAAAATGAAAAGGCAGAGGACGATGTACCAGATGAAGGAAACCCCAGAAAAACAACTAAATGAAGTGGAGATAGGCAACCTACCAGAAAAAGAATTCAGAATAATTATAGTGAAGATGATCCAGGACCTCGGAAAAAGAATGGAGGCAAAGATTGAGAAGATGCAAGAAATGTTTAGCAAAGGCCTAGAAGAATTAAAGAACAAACACCTAGAAGAATTAAAGAATAAACAGAGATGAACAATACACTAACTGAAATGAAAAATACACTAGAAGGAATCAATAGCAGCATAACTGAAGCAGAAGAACAGACAAATGACCTGGAAGACAGAATGGTGGAATCCACTGCCACAGAACAGAATAAAGAAAATATAATGAAAAGAAATGAAGACAGTCTAAGAGACCTCTGGGACAACACTGAACGTACCAACATTCACATTATAGGGGTCCCAGGAGGAGAAGAGAAAGAGAAAGGAGCTGAGAAAATATTTGAAGAGATTATAGTTGAAAAATTACATAACATGGGAAAGGAAATAGCCACCCATGTCCAGGAAGTGCAGAGAGTCCCAGGCAGGATATATCCAAGGAGAAACATGCTAAGACACACAGTAATCAAATTGACAAAAATTAAAAACAAAGAAAAATTATTAAAAGCAACAAGGGAAAAACAACAAATAACATACAAGGGAACTCCCATAAGGTTAACAACTGATTTCTCAAAAGAAACTCTGCAAGCCACAGGGAGTGGCACAATATATTTAAAGTGATGAAAGGGAAGAACCTATAACCAAGATTACCCAGCAAGGATCTCATTCAGATTCGACAGAGAAATCAAATGGTTTACACACAAGCCAAAGCTAAGAGAATTCAGCACCACCAAACCAGCTATACAACAAAGGCGAAAGGAACTTCTCTAAGTGAGAAACACAAGAGAAGAAAAGGACCTACAAAAACAAACCCAAAACAATTAAGAATATGGTAATAGGAACATATATATTGATAATTACCTTTAATGTGGATGGATTAAATGCTCCAACCAAAACACACAGGCTTGCTAAATGGATACAAAAACAAAACCCATATATATGCTGTCTACAAGAGACCTACTTCAGACCTAGGGACACATACAGACTGAAAGTGAGGGGATGGAAAAAGATATTCCATGCAAAAGGAAATGAAAAGAAAGCTGGAGCACCAATACTCATATCAGACAAAACAGACTTTAAAATAAAGAATGTAACAAGAAACAAGGAAGGACGCTACATAATGATCAAGGGATCAATCCAAGAAGAAGATATAACAATTATAAATATATATGCACCCAACATAGGAGCACCTCAATACATAAGGCAAATGCTAACAGCTATGAAAGAGGAAATTGACAGTAACACAATAATAGTGGGCGACTTTAACACCTCACTTACACCAACGGACAGATCGTCCAGACAGAAAATTAATAAGGAAACATAAGCCTTAAATGACACAACAGACCAAATGGATTTAATTGATATTTATAGGACATTCCATCTGAAAACAGCAGATTACACTTTCTTCTCAAGTGCACACAGAACATTCTCCAGGACAGATCACATCCTGGGTCACAAATCAAGCCTCAGTAAATTTAAGAAAGGTGAAATCATGTCATCTTTTTCAACCACAACGCTATGAGATTAGAAATAAATTACAGGGAAAAAACCGTAAGAAACACAAACACATGGAGGCTAAATAATACATTACTAAATAACCAAGAGATCACTGAAGAAATCAGAGAAAATCAAAAAATACCTAGAGACAAAAAGGGGCTTCCCTGGTGGCGCAGTGGTTGAGAGTCCGCCTGCCAATGCAGGGGATGCCAGTTCATGCCCCGGTCCGGGAAGATCCCACATGCCGCGGAGCGGTTGGGCCCATGAGCCATGGCCGCTGAGCCTGCACGTCCGGAGCCTGTGCTCCGCAACGGGAGAGGCCACAACAGTGAGAGGCCCGCGTACCGCAAAAAAAAAAAAGACACATGCACCCCAATGTTCACTGCAGCACTATTTATAATAACCAGGTCATGAAAGCAACCTAAACGCCCATCGACAGAAGAATGGATAAAGAAGATGTGGTACATACTATGCAATGGAATATTACTCAGCCATAAAAAGGAACGAAATCGGGTCATTTGTAGAGATGTGGATGGACCTAGAGACTATCATACAGAGTGAAGTAAGTCAGAAAGCGAAAAACAAATATTGTATATTATTAACACATATATGTGGAATCTAGAAAAATGGTACAGATGAAGCGGTTTACAAGGCAGAAATAGAGACATAGATGTAGAGAACACATGTATGGATGGACACCAAGGGGGAAAGCAGGGAGGGGGGGATGAACTGGGAGATTAGGATTGACCTATATACACTAATATGTATAAAATAGATAACTAGTAAGAACCTGCTATACAAAAAATAAAAGAAAATTCAAAAGAAAAGAAATCTCTAATGACTCACCGCTTCCTATAAGAAAAAGCCCAGATTCTCCTGCCTCGAATACAGACAGACCTCTCTCTCCTAAGCTATCTCCAACTGCTAGGTGAGAGACTCCTAGTGACCCTAGAACATACAACCATTATTCTTGATGCCATGCTTCCTCTACTGTTTGCCACTCTCCCACTTCACCAATCCAAATCTAGACCATCCTGTGAAGACGAGTGCCAAGACCCGCTTTTGCCTTGAAACTCTCTCTCTGTACTCAAGCCCACAGTAAAGGCCACATCTCTGGCCTCTCTGCCTTTGCTACTTGCATCAGTCATTCTGTGCTCATCAAAGACTGCCTTGCACAGTTATGTAGCATTTTAAAAGTGTACACTTTGATTCCTCAGCTGGACTATGAGCTCCTTAAGGCTAGGATTCATGTTTTACAATTTTGGGGGTATTTCTCAAAGCCAAAGACAATGCCAGGCATATTATAGGCAAGTTCTAAATTCTTGTTAACTATTAAACATATATCTTAAATTCTTAGAAATGTTTCTTTTGGCTCTCTCTTCAACTGGGGACTTAAAATTGAACAAATCCACAGATTTCATATAATCCTAATGCTTCCACATATAATCAAATAATTTAAAACTTACAAGGAACAGGAGGAAAAAGCTCCTCAGGACTTTCAGTCCCAAGTTACTTACCATTCTTCATCACTACATTGGACCAGACATTGGCATTCAAGGCTTGAACAATTCGCTTTACTCCTGTAGATTCTGGGAAGTCATCTAATCAGGGAGGAAAAATATATACATTTATACATGCACTTATACATACACACATATATATACACACTCATCCCTAAATATTCATGAAGGGATAGCTCCCGGACTCCCCTCCCCACTGTGGATACCAAAATCTGCAGATGCTCAAGTCCCTTATATAAAATAGCATAGTATTCGTATATAATCTACCCACACTGTCCCATTTTTTTTCCTCCCATATACTTTAAATCATCTCTTAAATACTTAAAATACCAAATACTATGTAAATTTTTTGGAATTTTTCTTCCAAATATTTTCAGTCTGCTGTTGGCTGAATCCATGGAAGCAGAACCCTTGGATACAGAGGGCTGACCGTATATGTATATACAGCCCACAAGCCACATTTTTAAACAACTGTGGCTTAATTATCTTGCTCATTTAGTTGTTACTTCACATTGTAACAAGGAAAAAAAGGGAAAAAATTAAGGAAATACAAAGCTTAGAGCTCCTGTTAAGAATATTCTAGAAACTGGAGAGTGATCAAGATGGCAGAGGAGTAAGACGTGGAGCTCACCTCCTTCAACAAATACATCAAAAATATATCTACAGGGGCTTCCCTGGTGGCGCAGTGGTTGAGAATCCGCCTGCTGATGCAGGGGACGCGGGTTCGTGCCCCGGTCCGGGAAGATCCCACATGCCGCAGAGCGGCTGGGCCCGTGAACCATGGCCGCTGAGCCTGCACGTTCGGAGCCTATGCTCCACAACAGGAGAGGCCACACAGTGAGAGGTCCGGGTACCGCAAAAAAAAAAAAAAAAAAAAAAAGTAGTTAAAAAAATATATATATATACAGGTGGAACGATTCTCACAGAACATCTACTGAACACTGGCAGAAGACCTCAGACTTCTGAAAGGGCAAGAAAATCTCCATGTTACCGTGTAGGACAAAAGCAAAAGAAAAAAAAGAGAGAGAAAGGAATCAGGACAGGACCTGCACCCCTGGGAGGGAGCTATGAAAGAGGAAAGGTTCCCACACCCTAGGAAGTCCCCTCACTGGTGGGGAGATCAGTCAGGATAGAGGGGGAGCTTCGACGCCTTGGAGGAAAGTACAGCAACTAGCTGCAGAAGGCAAAATGGAGGAAGACCTACACAGACAGTCAGTATGGCTGCCCTGCACTCCCCAGCCTGAGACATGCATCCGTTGGTGCAGGCGGGGGCTGGGTGCTGGAGCTTTGGAGGTCAGACCCAGGGAGAGGACTGGGGTTGCTGCATGGAGATAGCCTGAAGGAGCTGGAGTGTGGTATGGCCACAACCAAGGGTGTACATGGAAGAAGCCTGGTCCCCGCCACAGAGGTAAGGTGCCACTGTTGGGGGGCATGCAAGGAGAGGGGAGGACCGCTTTAGGAGCCTCTTTCCCCATGCGCATGGTATCACGTGACAGGACACAGCCTACACGAGCTCTCAGGGCAGGCACGAGCCGCCGCAGGCACTGAGAGATCCAGGAGCAGGCGCCAATTGCTGCCCCCACCATTGTGGGATCCAGAAGCACACAGGAGCCGCTGCCGTGTGCCCTGGGAGTGGGCACCAGCCAGTGCTGCCATTGCAGGCTGTTATCCCCTTGACAGGGAGCGCACAAGAGCTGCAGCGTCTGCACACCCCCTATCAAGGGGATAACAGCCAGCACATGCTGAGGAAAGACGCAGAAGGCATCCATATGAAAAGCAGCCCTTGCACAAAATACATTAAACCCACACAAGCTACACAGGGATGCTCCTGCATATAAATAGCCTTCCAAGATCACAGTAGATAACTTTTTCCTAAACTCACAGAGTAAGAGAAATATACATAAAATGAAGAAGCAGAAAAACCACTCCCAGTTAAAAGACCAAGAGAATCCCCCTAAAAGAACAATGAAACAGACCTCTTCAGTGTAACAGACACCTAGTCCAAAAAGGAGGTAATGAAAATACCAAAGGAATTAAGAAAGGCTACCGAAAGAAATGCAGATTACTGTAAAAAGAAACTAGAAACTATAAGGAGGAGCCAAGAAAAATCAGAAAATTCATTTTCCGAGATTAAAGCTGAGCTAAAGGCAATGACTAGCAGAATGAATAATATAGGAGAATGAATAAGTGATCTGGAAGATAAAATAATGAAAATCACCCAACCAGAACAGGAGACAGAAAGCAAAATGAAAAAAAATGAAAACAATATAAAAAGACCCACAGGATAATATAAAGCGTGCCTCTCTATGCATAACAGGGATTCCAGAAGGAGAAGAAAGAGAAACAGAGATTGAAAAGGTATTTGAAGAAATTATGCCTGAAAAGTTCCCAAATCTAAAAAGGAAACAGTTATCCAGACACAGAAAGCACAGAAGGTCAGGAACAAAATGAACCCTAACAGACCTACACCAAGACATATTACAATCGAAATGGCAAAAGTTAAACATAAAGAGAGGATTCTAAAGGCAGCAAGAGAAAAACAAAGAGTTAATTACAAGGGAACCCCCATAAGGCTATCAGCTGATTTCTCTACAGAAGCACCACAGGCCAGAAGGGAGTAGAAAAACATATTTAAAATCTTGAAAGGGAAAAATCTGCAATCTACAATGCTCTACCCAGCAAAATTATCATTTAGAATAGGAGAGATAAAGAATTTCTCAGAGAAGCAAAAACTAAAATAATACAGCAATACTAAACCTAACCTAAAAGAAATATTCAGAGGTCTCCTCTAATTTGAAAAGAAGCAAGAAGATATAGGAAAGAGGAAATCACAACTGGAAAGTAAATCACTTAAATAAGCCAGTATACAGATGGAAAAAATATTTTTTTAATCAATTTGTGAAAGAGATGATAAACGCAAGGAAGAGCAAAAGGATAAACATAAAGATGTAAAAGAGGACATCAAAATCATAAAACGTGGGAGAGGAGAGTAAGAAAATGTAGATTCTTTTTTTTTTAGAATGCATTTGAGCCTATATGACTGTCAGTCTAAAGCAAGCAGATATAGTAAGGAGTTAACATACTTGAAAAACAGGGTAACCATAAATCAAAAACATACAATAGATTCACCAAAATCAAAAAGAAGAGAACACAAGCATAAAATAAAAGAAAATCATCAAACCACAAAATGAAAAACAAAAAAGGAAAAGAAAGGGACAAAGAAGAAACACAGCATCAACTGGAAAACAAGGTTTAAAACGGCAATAAATACAGATTTATCAATAATTACCTTAAATGTCAATGGACTAAATGCTCCGATCAAAAGACAGAATGGCAGACTGGATAAAAAAACAAGAAAGTACGATATGCTGCCTACAAGGCACCCACTTTAGGGCAAAGGACACACACAGATTGAAAGTGAGGGTATGGAAAAAAGACATATCATGCAAACGGAAATGACAAGAAAGTGAGGGTCGCAATACTCACGTCAGATAAAATAGACTTTAAAACAAAGGCCATAAAGAAAGATAAAGACACTATATAATGACAAAAGGATCAATAAAAGGAGAGGATTTTACACTCATCAACATATATGTACTTAATATAGGAAAACCCAAATACATAAAACAAATACTAACAGACATAAAAGGAAAAACTGACAGGAATACAATAATAGTAGGTGACTTTAACACCCCACTCACATCAATGGACAGATCTTCTAGACAGAAAATCAATAAGGCAACAGATATCCTAAATTATACAATAGAACAGTTAGACTTAATTGATATTTTCAGGACATCATATTCAAAAAACCCCGAATACACATTCTTTTCAAGTGCACATGTAATATTCTCTAGGACTGATGACATACTAGGGCACAAAACAATAGAGCCAGATTCACCACAAAGAAAAGAGAGAGAACCCAAATAAACAAAATAAGAAATGAAAAAGGAGAAATATCAACCAAGATCGCAAAAATACAAAACAACCATAAGAGAATACTATGAACATTTATATGCCAACAAATTCAACAACCTAGAAGAAATGAACAAGTTTCTAGAAACATACAGCCCATTAAAATTTAATCAAGAATATAACAGATAATTTAAAACGACCTATCATTAGAAGTGAAATTGAATCTGTAATTAAAAGAAAAAAAAACAAAAACTCCCTACAAACAAAAATCCAGGACCAGATGGCTTCACAGGTGAATTCTACCAAACATACAAAGAACTTTTACCAATCCTCAAATTCTTCCAAAACACTGAAGAGGAGGGAACACTCCCGAAGACATTCTATGAAGTCACTATCACCCTGATACCAAAACCAAACAAAGATACCACCAAAAAAGAAAATTACAGGCCAGTATCTTTGAGGAATACAGAAGCAAAAATTCTCAACAAAGTATTAGCAAACTGAATCCAACAAAACATACAAAAGATCATACACCATGACCAAGTGGGATTCATCCTAAATTCATAAGGATGGTTCAACATATGCAAATCAATCAATGTGATACACCACATCAACAAAAGAGACAAAAACCACATGATCATCTCAATAGATGCAGAAAAACCACCTGACAAAATCAACGTCCATTAATGATAAAAACTCTTACCAAAGTGGGTATAAAGGGAACATATCTCAACACAATAAAAGTTACTTATGACAAACCCACAGCCAATATGCTCAATGATGAAAAGCTGAAATCCTTCTCTCTAAAATCTGGAACAAGAATGCCCAGTCTCACCACTTCTATTCAACATAATATTGGAAGTCCTGGCCACAGCAATCAGATACAAAAAAGAAAATGTATCCAAATTGGAAGGAAAGAGGTAAAATTGTCACTATATGCAGATGACATGAAACTATATATAGCAAGCCCTAAGAACGCCACACAAAAACTACTAGATATAATAAATTAATTCAGCAAAGTAGCAGGATACGAGATTAACATTCAGAAATCAGTTGCATTCCTTTACACTAACAATGAAATATCAGAACGGGATTGTAAAAAACAAATTCCTTTTAAGGGCTTCCCTGGTGGCGCACTGGTTGAGAGTCTACCTGCGATGCAGGGG